TTTTAAATTTTATTCCTGGAGCCAGCAAGTGGTTAAGACGCTGGACTCCCATATGACTGACTGACTGCAATTTAAGTCCCAAATCTAGTTGTTTGAAAATAATGCAGGGCTCATGTGTGTGCATGCCCAGAATCCCAGGAGAATGGAGAAGAGATTACAGTGTGCCCATTCCCCATAGAAGCCGGTGATTTCTCACATTCCCTCTCACTCTCTCTCTCTCTCTCTCTGGAGAGCACAATAACCATATGACCCCTCTCCACAAAATATTCATGGAGAACAAAAGCAATGGAAAAAATACTCAAAAGTATCATTCAAGAAAACATTCCTAAAACAAGAGTTGAAGCTATGTATTTAAAAAAAGCAAAAAGATTCCTAAAAAAAACTAATCCACAATGTTTGGATCTGATACATATTGCTGCAACTATTTATTAAGCTTCAATTAAAAAAATTTTGAGCCTTTAGGGAAGAAGCCCAAATTGAAGAGAGTGGTAATCAAACTGTACATAGACTTTTCTATAATGCCATTGCTACAAGTTAATAGAGTAACACATTTAAGTAACCTGAGGATACAAAGTGTGAAATTTATACCTAGAAAAATGACCTCCTAGATAGATATCAGATAAAGTTTTAGAAACATGGAAGCACTAAGAAATATTGTTCCTGTGCATTTTTCCTGAGGAATCAGAGATATCAATATTAGACACAATGGTGAGCATCAGATATTGATTGATGTATGGAATAAATATACTGTTTATAAGAAAGAACGAATTACATGTAAAGGTTACTTGTTCTGTAAATATAGATAAAATATAATATTGAAAGAGTAACTCTCAAAATATGAAGTTATTGTTGATTTTGGTGCTGTTTTCCCATTGCATACTTCTCCCTACCCTCACCTACATACTTGTTGCCATCCCTACTCCACACCAATGTTCTCTGCTTGGAATTTCTATGCTCATTTTTCAACATTCACCTTTGGCTTCACTGTGTGCACCCCACCTGCCATGATCCTCCCATGAAGTATTTACTGATCTCCACAATGTGGAAGGTTCTCTCTTCCCTATCATTTAACTTATCTTCCATTCCTTTCAGATCCACAATTGTGACTAGCTTGTGAGCTCCATCAGGTCAGGGGCTGAGCTCCATTTTATCCCTAGAACTATTATACCCATGCCACAGTTTTTTGTTTGTTTGTTTGCTTGCTTGTTTTTGAGAATGTATTTCCCATGGAGAATGGTCACACCACAGCCCCTTCTCTTCCATCTCTCTCTCCTTTCAGGATTTTGGTCACACATTCATATCTGCCTGATGTGTTTTCAAGCCGTAGGTGCAGGACTCAGACTCTGCAGTCAGCCATGCGGGACCCAGCTGCCTGAACCACCACCTCATGGGCTGTCCTTCCATGTAACTATTTTAGTTCACAGCTTATTCAATTTATGAACGCTAAAGGAATTTCCATTTGCTTGCCTTTTAGATTCAGGAGAGATCACAATTGCCTACCCTTTGGATTACGAAGATATAGCCACTCCAAAGTCTTGGATATTATATTTAAGAGCTTATGACAATGAACGAATGCACTCAACAACTGGAACACTTACAGTGATTCTACAGGATATAAATGACAATGCACCTCAATGCTCACAGGATATTTACACGTAAGTTGTGATGACAATTATTCTGTCTTCATATTTTAGCATATAAATAAAAGAGAAAAAATGGGGAAATATCACATCATCCTTGGAATAAAGCAGAAGGCTTTCATTTTTTTTCTGTTCTTTATTTTTTTATTTAGTTTTATTTACTATTATTATTTTTCACTTTGACCAGAGAGACAGAGAGAGAGAGAGAAGGGAAAGTGAAAAAGCAAGCCACCAGGTCCAGGATTCAAACTGCAGTCACCCATGTGGAAGTCCAGCACCTTAACCACCATGCCAACACCCAGTGCCTCCTTACTTCATTTTTTTTGACAATATATAACTTCTCTTTCTTCTTCTTTCCTTGTACAAGGAGGTCTACTTTATTTTTTCTTAAAAAAGTATACAAATTAAAGCTAGAAAGGATTCCTAAGAATGATTTTTTTCTATCCTTAAATTTTCATAGTTATAAGAAGTCCAGCACCTTAACCACCATGCCAACACCCAGTGCCTCCTTACTTCATTTTTTTTGACAATATATAACTTCTCTTTCTTCTTCTTTCCTTGTACAAGGAGGTCTACTTTATTTTTTCTTAAAAAAGTATACAAATTAAAGCTAGAAAGGATTCCTAAGAATGATTTTTTTCTATCCTTAAATTTTCATAGTTGTAACAACCAACCACTGCATTAAAAATCACATATTGGGGGACCAGCAGTTAGCGTAATGGCTATGTCACTGAACTCCCATGTAGCCAACCACAGTTCGAGTCCTGGACCTGGTGGCTTAAACTAACAACGGGGATGTGTATGTGCATGCCCAAGATCCTGAGAGAAGAATGGCAGAGAAGGGATTGCGGCATGGCCATCCCCCTTCGCTTTCTATCTCTCTGTCTCTCTCTGTCTTTCTGGCAAGCACATGTGCCTTATAGCAAAAACCTCTCCAAAAAAAAAAAAAAATCCCATATTGGGCTAGCAGGTGGCATGGTGATTAAGGGGCTAGACTGTTACATGGCCAACAGCAGTTTAAGTCATGGACTTAGAAGCTTGTTTTCTCTCTTACCATTTCTCTCTCTCTCTCTGTCTCTTATCTGGCAAAAATTTTAAAAATAATAACAAATGGAATTAATTTAATAAATAATTCATTTAAAAAAATCACATATTTATGTATTTAGCAAACTCATAAGTTTGTATATGTACTCTATTTGTTTATTGATATTAATTTAAAGAGAACTCTAAAAGTACATGTAAGCTCACCACTTAGTCTGATTATAAAATAACAGATTTATAGTGTATGTATAAATTTTGACTCCCTTTATACAAAGTAGAGTATCATAACTTTAAGAATTCACTTATTCATAAAGTGTACACAGTTATAAAGATCGAGCTGGATCTTGAAACTCAGACCTTCTGATCCTCTACAAATACCAGCATGCTTAGAAAAAAGTCTTAATCAAGTCTGGGTGTATTCTTTTTTTTTTTTTTTTTTTTTTGAGAGGTTTATTGCTATAGGGCGCGTGTGCTCGCCAGACAGACAGAGAGACAGAAAGTGAGAAATCACCCCCCAGGGGGGATGGTCACGCCACAATTCCTTCTCTTCCATTCTCCTCTCGGGATCTTGGGCACGCACGCACACGCGCCCGGCGTGAGTTTTAAGCCACCAGGACCGGGACGCGAACCGCGGTCGACTAGGTGGGAGTCCAGCAACATAGCCATTACACTAACTGCTGGTTCCCAAGTCTGGGTGTATTCTGATGCCACACTTTCTTTGGTATTCTAATGACATACCTCTTTCCAAAAGTGCATATAATAGCCAATGTAATATTATTATCAATAATCATTACCAATGAATATTAATCACTATCAACAGTTACTAAAGCATAATATTGTTACTATTATAGTAATATAAGTTGTAGAGAAAACCTGAGGAAAACCATAGAAATGTGTGCTTCTCGCAACAAAAGACTACTAGATGGATCCACTGTGGTAGAATTTTGATAATCCTGCAAGCTGAACAATGAAGTTTCTGCTCAGAATTTTCACTTCTACAGTAGAACAGTATTTCATAATATATCTATCGTAAAAGGTTTTTGGTGGAGTGCTCTTGAATAACTTATCTCCCACTTAAAATCATACAAATGCACACATGTATTTGCTCAGTTTATAGGAACAAAATATAGCCCAAAATTCACATTTAAAAAGTGTCATTTCTCTGTTGTACTTCAGAAAAATGCTTGAAGCTTGTAAACTCTTTGAGGTGTTTTGATAAAAAACAAAAAGGACACAATAAAGAATGATTCTGTAGCCGCTGCAATAGTGTTGTAGTTTGCTTTCACTCTGTCTTTCTATTTCACCTAGTAGTCTAAGGATTCTTTTTGTCCAAGGTTATTTTAAAAATTTATTTTTAACTATTAGAGGGTAAATGTTTGTGTGTGTGTGAGAGAGAGAAAGAGAACATTCTCTATACGGTTTGATCACTCCAGTCTTTTTCCCTCCATACCTCCTTTTAATTAGGATTTGGGGTACACACACACACACACACACACACACCCTGAAAAGATACTTACCACCAATTATAAAATAAAATTTAGAAACAAATATCATTGGCTAAGCCCCCAAAGCATATCTTTAAAAAAAATTTTTTGAGAGCTTTTTTTTTTTTTTGCTATAGGGCGCGTGTGCTCACCAGAAAGACAGAGAGACTGAAAGCGAGAAATCACCCTCTAGGGGGATGGCCATTTCATAAAGCCTTCTTCTCCATTCTCCTCTTGGGATGCACATGCACCTGGCGTGAGTTTAAGCCACCAGGTCCAAAACTCAAACCATGGCAGACTACGTGGGAGTCCAGTGACATCGCCATTACGCCAACTGCTGGTCCCTTTTTTAAATTATTTTAATGCTAAAGGACATGCATGTACATAAGAGAAAAAGTGAGACAGAGAAAGAAAGACAAGGCACCCCATGGGGGCTGAAAATGCTACAATCCTTTTTCAATTCTCCATTTCATCAAGATCTTGGTATGCGTACTCCCACTCAGTATATTTTTCAAGCCACCAGGGCTGGGATTCAAGCCATGTTCAGCCATGTGAGATCTGGTTTATTCTGTGCAGTACTTAACCACTGCGTGGGGCAGACACCCAAATAAACACCTCCTCATCCCTTCTGCAAAGAGCAGTGCATGTTAGTTGGCTCTAGTGTGGCAGTCCTGCCTGCTGTGGCTCGGGGATCCTACTTTATTCAGTTGTTTGGCATTGGTGTATTATTGCCTTTTGCTCTCAAACATGTGGACAAAGGAGGAAGAGGGAGTCTGCAAGGTACCCCCAAGTTTTAATCGCCTTGCCTAGAACTGACAACAGTCTTTCCACTTACTTTTCACATGCCAGTCCATCTCATGTTGCAAATCGTGGGAGTCATAGAGAAAACTGGGAAAAGAAAAGAGGCATGTGAATATTGGTGAGAACCAACAGTTCTTAGGAAAGGTTAAGTAAATTTAATAGTCAGTAGTTCAGAATTTTCTTATTTCTAAAATGGGGACAATGATATCTACATAAAGGAAAAAGTTTAAAGGAGATTTTTCAGAAGATTACATGTAACTGGGATTTATAAATATAAAATTATGAATCCGAGACAAATTGCCATTTTATTCAGTGATAATATGTATGTGTCTTACCAAATTTACTGCTTATTAATCTAACATAATACCAGTTCATTTCCCTTGACTTCATCAAAGATGTCACATATTTTTTATCTTATATGATTTTTTAACTAACACTGTAATTATCTTTATTTTTTATTTCTTTGAGAGGTTTTTGCAATGGGGTGCATGTGCTCTCACCAGAGAGACAGAGAGACAGAAAGTGAGAAATCACACCCCCCCAGGGGGATGGGCACACCACAATCCTTTCTCTTCCATTCTCTTCTTGGGATTTTGGGCATGCACATATACTCGCCTGAGTTTTAAGACACCAGGTCCAGGACTCAAACTGTGGTCGACTACATGGGAGTTCAGCAACATAACCATTATGCCATCTGATGGTCCCAAAACTGTAATTTTATTATTGGCAGAAGTGGTTATTTAAAATATAAGCACATTTGAAAATGTCTTATATGTTGATTATTATCAACTTCGTAAGTCTAGATGGACATGTTACTACTACATTTTATTTCATGTTTGATTTATTACAGAATTGAACTTCCTGAAAACACCCCAGCTGAAACTCTTTTAGTTTCTCTAACTTGTACAGATAAGGATGGAACTGTTCCCAATAACAATATAACTTATCATTTGATTACGGATACTTTTTCAAATGAAACATTTATGCTCACAAACAATGAACTGAAAGTAAGTATTTTAAAATTGTTCTCTGATTGTGGCCCTGTGATTAACCTTAGATAGAAAAATGTTATTATTAGTATTATTATTATACTATTCTTAATGAATTACAGTAGTTAAAATAGCTGATGGCAGAATTTGTTCCTGGATTTTCAGCTGAACCTTAAATTACCAGCAACATATCTTAGTTTAGGATGAGTGCTTGAATGCAATTTTGATCTTGGGAACTGAACTAGGAAGGTTATAAATTTCCTAGAACAAATGGGTCTATAATAAAATAGTGTCTATTCTTTTGGAATGTGTTGACTTTACCATAATTAACTTTAATAAACATATTAAATAGCTTGAACTTGTGGCAGGAATAGAATTAATGTGCATATGTTGTTACCATATTCTAGAATATAAAATAGTTAAATATTTTACCAATGCAGGAAATTTAGACTTTATTCTCAATACATATTGAGTTTTGTAAGTCAGGTCACAGGTGGCTGTATTCACATATTTTTAAAAAAAAAACAGGTAAGATAAAATTAGCATTATGTTCTACAAAGATTCATAGGTAATGGATGAACATTGGTAAGAGAAGAAGTTGCTCATCAGACCAATAGGCCTGTAAGAAACCCAACATAGTCTGGGGGGGTAAGACATAGATAAAAAACACTTATAAAAAAAGCCATTTGATACTGAATCTATTGCATTTGGACCTCTACCAAGCTGCATTTCACACAAACTCCTACGATCTTTACTCCTTTGTTCTCATACTCTGTGATTGGGGTGTACAAATCACTTTCTCAACTTAAAATATGGTGGTCTTTCAGTTCTGCCTCATAATGTAGCTGGACATCCTGATCATACTACTGGAAAATCCGCCCCAGTTGTTTTGTGTCTGCATCATCTACACACTTTTTACAATCTTCATAACTTTGTTTACAAATAATTTCTTCTCACTTTTTTTAAAGAAAGGTTTTTGCCACAGTCTCACAGACTGAGACAGAGAGAAAGTGAGAAATCACCCCCAGTGGGGATGGCCCTTCTCCATTCTCCACTTGGGACTTTGGGCAGCAACACACATGCCCAGTGTGATTTTTCAAGCCACCAGGTCCAAGTCCACAGTCAGCCATGTGGTAGTCCAGCACCTTAACCACCATGCCACCACTGGTGCCAATTTTTTCTTACTCTAGTTTAATCAGTGCTTCTCCATGGGTTCTGGCAGCATTTTGTATCTCTCCTCCCATACCCTAATTACATTTGATCTGATTACCCAATTAAACAGTAAGAGAAAAAAAAATCAGCTATTACGCTAATGTCTGACAGAGAAGCAATGCTTATTAGGTATGTTAATCAATGACTGAAATAATGAGTACCAAATGAACAAAATTAAACTCTCCAATCATTTTGTAAGGCATTGACAGAATTTAGTATCAAATTACCATCCACATACATCAATATCACATTTTCATAATACTTTCAACTGGAAGATACATTTGCTATAAGCAAAATATTAAAACAAACCTTCATAACTCTATACTTTACATTTGTATCCTAATGATTATGAATTATTAAACAATATCAGAAATGTCCTCAATTAGGAATATGCAGATTATAGCATTGTATAACATTTAATTGACATTTCCCAATTCAGGTAAGTCTAAAAAGAGCAAAACAAGCACAGAAAATATGTGAATAAACAAGAGCAAAATATGACATTGGACTTCCTTGAACTTTGACTAAAACTAAAACCAGTCACATAAGTTTTTTAGAATCAAAACCATTGATCCATTGTATCCCTTGATGACTTTTCCTATCTTTGCCTAAAAACTATAGCATGCTAACCTTCATTAAATTCAACGCCTCCTTTTTTTCCAATTATTGTTATTGGGATAAGAACAGTATTTTTCTTAGAGGATCATTAAATTCAGGAAGGGTTATTAAAGTGGTAAAATTCTTACCTTGCTACAGAAGCCAGGGAAGAAAAGCCAGTGTAGAAAAAGAAATTAACACAGTTTGAATGCTTAGTGACTAAAACATTAATTAAGAGAACGTAGAAAGAATATGTGTTTGGCTTTCCAATAGTATTTGAGTTCTTACACTCATGAAAGCTTAATTGATATGATTTTTAAAAAGATTAAATTGATTTGTTTTTAGATGACCATATGTTGGTATGTATATTATACAAAGAGGAATGGAAAGAGTTTTAGCAGTTACTCGAAATGAGAATTTATATTAAGCACCAAAAGTTTTATATTAAAATAATGACTAATGCTCTAAGAGGCTAGTAAATATTAACCTCAAATTTATTTCGAATTAGAGGAGTGATATTCACCAGGATACCAATGAGAGTCATGTAATTTTAATGTTTAACAATGAATTACCATTTAATGAGTCCAAATGATCTCATATGCTATAGATTTAACTTAGTAATTGAATAATAAAAATGAATATTTCTTTAAATCAGTATTGCTAATCATGTATTTTATTAAATTATTTCTCTTTAATGAGCATTGACCTGAAAAATCACCCCAATCTATTTTTATTAGTCAATCCATTTTTAATAATTATTTTATTTCATAATACAAGATACAAGATAACCTACCTAACATATTTGCAAGTTTTAGCACACAGCCAGGAAATGAACCCCTGAACCATCACTTCACTTCAGAATTAGAACATTCACAGCTGTCAGTGCTCATTGCCATCCCCTACTTTTCCTCCAGAGGCAACCAATACCCTGAATTTTGCATTTGCTGTTGCCTTGGGGACTTAATAGTTTTATTGTCTATGTACATATTCCTAGACAATATTTGTGTTTTCTTAGTTCTTTTAGTTTTTTAAAGAATTGTTTTATCTAACTTTATTTATTTTATTTTATTTTAAATTTTGACCAGAAAGGAACAGAGTGAGAGACAGGGAGAGAAGGAAAGTGAAAGAGCAAGCTGCCATGTCCAAGACTCAAACTTCAGTCGGCCCTGTGGGAGCCCAGTGCCCTTAACCACCACGTGACCTGTCTGCCTGTTTCTTAGTTGTTGAACTTCCAAAAACTTGAACTTCAAAAAAGAAAAGACAGACAGTAAACTTACAGGATCACTACCAATGTGAATGGTTAACTTAAGAACTGATACCCCACTCAGTGCCATGGATATTCTTCCTATCACCTCTTTATTTCCTTAGAATGTAGACTACACAGTTTTAGAATTGTAAAATATCTTAGAGAACGTCTAATATTCTACTTCATTCATGAAGAAACTATTTTTCCCCATTTTACTAAGTGACTTACAGTCTGCAATATCTGGAATTCCTGAAACATTGTAGAATCTTTCAAAAACAATGTCTTTTTCACCTATGCTTGTCTGCACCAACTCATCACCTAGTTGCTTCACATAAATTCTCTCCCTAATAACTGTGGGCTATTTGTTGGGGGAAAAAAAAGAACTAATGTGAACATAGCTGAGGCACAAAAAGAACCTCAGAAAAACTGGAGACACATTCTTTCCACTCTCTGCTTAGATGGTCTCAGATCTAATCTGGTCTATGACCACCCTGAGGATTGTGTGATTATGCATGAGCTGTGAAAAGATGACTCTTAGATGCTCCTTTAATTTAACATTATTAAAGATCTCAAAAACATCATGCCTGCCCTGTAAACTCTTCCCAGGAGAGTAAAGTGAAAGAGCAAATATATGAGATGCTTTGACCTCTGTCCCAGAATGGATCTCAAGTTCTCTTTTAGCGTGATTTTGAGGCTTGCAATTCAAGCTTTCTTCTGAGAGATGATTCTTGCTAATACTAACCTAGACCAAACTCATTTTGGAAAAATGCAAATAAATTCATGATGACTACTTTGAACAAATCTTAAATACACATGACTGTAGCACTTTATGAAGAGAATGTGTATAAGAAAAATATAAACTATGGTAAATAATCAGTTTGACCAAATGTAGACAAAATATGTACAAAATATTTTTGATATTGATTACATGTTAAATGACAGCATTTTGGATATATCTGATTAAGCAAAATACTTTATTAAAATTAATTTACACAGCTTTTTAATTTTTTCTACTATATCTACGAGAAAAATAAAATTACATA